TATCTTTACTGCACTCGCCCAGGCACCTACCTAGCAGTGAAGTGGCTGGCTACTGACTCAAAGGTTCACGGTTTGAATCCACCCGGAAGCACCCGGAAGAAACGCACAGCTGCTGAAAGCCCCCGACCGGCGGCACAGTTCGGGAGGGTGAGCAAACGGCACACTACGGTGTCAGAAACATTTCTAGTGTAACTCGCTAGAATTACATTCGAGTCTTAACAGAGGTTCCTAAGGCCGAGCCTAAGCGTGTCACGGACACCAGTGTGACGCCACGTGGAAGCCGGCAGAGCGGCTGCAGCGATTTGTACACCGCAAAGCAGACCACAATCAAGCCGTCGGTATCACATTTGACTTGTGGACAAATGTACAAAAACACTGAACCATCTTTCTACATTTACCATCTTCTAGAAAGGGCAGCATTTTACAGTTTTTGTATATAAACTAAAAAGCCCATGACTCGTTAGCTACCAAAGCGTCGAGAGAGCTCGCTAACCTGTTGCCACAAGCACTGCAGAGAACAGCAGGGCTGGGGCTCTTCAGTCAGGATGCCTGGCTTCAAACCCTAGTTCTAATACTGCCCCTGGACTCTGGCTTCCTCACCTGCAACATGAGGATAATTACAGTAGCTCCTAAGTGGGAGAAAAATGGGCTTTCTACTCTCATAAAGGGGGACAGCCTCCGAAACCTAGAGGCAGGCAGGTATACATTGTCCTATAAAGCCACTGAGTCGGCATCAACTCGATGGACGTTTGAGCTTTTGAGCTTGACTGTTCGGGAGAATAAATGGATCAGCACTAGGTGGGAGTATTTTGAATGGTGCCTGCCTCATAAGAAACAACAAAGAAGCAGCGGCGGCGGCGTCTGGAGCAGCGGGGCGGGCGGGAGCGATGGTGAAGATGGCGGCGGCGGTGAGGGCGGCCGGGCGCCGAAGCGGCTCAAGACCGACAACGCCGGCGACCAGCACGGAGGCGGTGGAGGAGAGAATTACGATGACCCACATAAAACGCCAGCCTCCCCAGTTGTCCACATCAGGGGCTTGATAGATGGCGTGGTGGAAGCCGACCTCGTGGAGGCCCTCCAGGAGTTTGGACCCATCAGCTATGTGGTGGTGATGCCCAAAAAGAGGCAGGCGCTTGTAGAGTTCGAGGATGTGTTGGGGGCTTGCAACGCGGTGAACTACGCAGCCGACAACCAAATCTACATCGCTGGTCATCCAGCTTTTGTCAACTATTCGACTAGCCAGAAGTTCTCCCGCCCCGGGGACTCAGATGACTCCCGCAGCGTCAACAGCGTGCTGCTCCTCACTATCCTGAATCCCATCGACTCTATCACCACGGATGTTCTCTACACGATCTGTAACCCTTGTGGCCCTGTCCAGAGAATTGTTATTTTCCGGAAGAATGGAGTCCAGGCCATGGTGGAATTTGACTCGGTGCAGAGTGCTCAGCGGGCCAAGGCCTCTCTCAATGGGGCTGACATCTACTCTGGCTGCTGCACTCTGAAGATCGAATATGCCAAG